CCTCTCTGCCCCCTTGGTCATGGGAAACAACTCCGTGATTCTCACAGGCTCCGTAGCCTCTTTGTCAAACAGAGCGACAGCGATATACGCCCAGAGCAACGACGCCAACTTTGTGAGCGTGAACAACAACTTTACAATGCAGCTTGGGGCCACGACGAACTTTGGGACCAGCCTTCTGCCTGCTTCCAGTGGTGCACATGACATAGGTTCCAGCAATACAATCTGGAGGAGCGTGTATGCATCCAATGTTTTGTTCACCGGTACGGGGAATTTTGCCGGGAATCTGACGACAACCAACATCTATCCATCCGCGAACAATTCTCATTCAATCGGTACTTCCTCAAATTTCTTTCAGTCCATTTGCGGCTCCGAGCTCGTTGCCAAATCATTCATACAAACACCCGCGCTCTACTCAACTGGCTTTGTAGGTACAAACCATACGGGAGTGGACGGAGGATCAGCGGTTGGAATACGGTATGCCAGCACAACTGATAGTACCTGGCAAACCTATTACGCGTCATCGGGGTCCAATAAGTCCGCCGCAAATGGCATCTCCTGCGCGTCATTGGACGGGAGAAATGCACCCGCATTGAGAACGAGGGTCCCAAACAGCACGTCGAATTCGGTAATTTGGGAGAATTCGAGTGAGACATGCTTGATGTCGCTCGCCCCGGATACAGGAAAGCTCCTCGTTACGGGACCGTTTTCTTGTGCTGGAGGCATCACATCTTCAAACGGCATCTCGGTCACCTCAGGATCTTCCACGTTTGCAGGTACACTGACGGGATCGAACGGCCTGACGATAGCAGCCGGCACAGCAACATTTGCGAGCAACCTTGCAGTTGCAGGTCCTATTGTCACCGCTGGAGGCATAACGTCGTCAAATGGACTCTCAGTAACATCGGGATCTTCGACATTTGCGGGTGCTCTGGTTGCGTCGAACGGCATCTCGGTCACCTCGGGACCGTCGACATTTGCTGGTACACTGACGGGATCAAACGGCCTGACGATAGCAGCAGGATCGGCTTCTTTTGCGAGTAATCTGACGGTTCTGGGGCCACTCGTGGCGTCGAATAGCATAGTGGGTGCGTCCTTTGGCACAACTGGAGCAATGACTGCAGGGAGTGGGTCTTTCGCGGGTAATGTCACTGTAAATGGAGATTTCAGCGTTGGAGGGCACATAGATTACATAAGCACGTCAGAGCTGATGGTTGCAGACAAGCACATCACCCTTGCATCATCTGCAACTCCAACTGACGCTGGAGCAAGCGGGGCTGGCATGTATGTTCAGGGCTCTAACTACGCAACCTCTAACAGTACCATATCCCTTACGTGGAACACTGGAGTCAACGGCAATTACTGGCTGCCAAAGGGCGGAAACGTGGCCCTTCAAGGGACATCAAATTCAAAAATGGTGACACTTTCCACGTCGGCAGACGGATCCTTAAAGCTGCTCTCTGATGATGGTGTTAGTGCGGCCACCACCGCAGCATTTGGCGTGCCCCTCGTCCCTGCGAGCTCGACCATGGATATTGGCACTTCGTCCAGCCCTTGGGGCACGGTCTATGCAACGAGTATCGGGACTGCATCAAAGCTCGTTCCTGTCTTTTCCTCTACCCTCACATGTACCAGCCTATCTGGGAGCACAGGGACCTTTACCGGTGCTATCAGTGGAGGCCCATTGTCGGGAACGTCCGCTACACTAACTGGCCTCCTCACCTGCACATCCATTAACCCAGCCTCGAATAATGCCTACAACCTCGGCAGTGCGGGGTCGTACTGGGGCACCCTGTTTGCCAACTCCATCAATGCAGGGCCGATTTCGACTCAGGGTAGCGTGCTCACAACAGGTCCGATCAATCCTTCGACGAGCAACGCATTCGATATCGGCACGTCCAGCAACGCATATGCGAGCGCCTATATCTTTGGAACGCTATATGCTTCGGCAGTTTCAGTGACTACAGGCAGCTTCTCCGGTTCTATCACATGTAAGGCCGTGAACACACAAGGGTCAAATTTAAGTGCCGGCACCGGGTCCATTTCAGGGGGCACTCTGGCTGGCACAAGCGCAACACTCAGCGGCGCCCTCGTGTGCACCACAATCAACACTCAAGGCTCGAACGTCACAGCAGGAACAGGGGCAGTGAATGGGGGTGCATTCACAGCAACCTCTCTGTCCACTGGTTCGGGTAATATAAGCGGAGGAAATCTGACATGCGGGGCAGTTAGTTGTTCGAATCTCACTGCATCGGGGCCTACGTTCAGCCTCGGATCCCTGCTAGGTACATCAACAGTCGCAGGGGGACCGTACATCGTGTCTGGTAGTTTTGACACCGTTGGCACCACACATTCCATTCCGATACCTCCGGGAGGCCGCAATCAAGCAGGCATATTGCATATATTTGCGAAGAACCTCAACGGGAATTATGGCCAATCAAAATCAGGGTACATGAAGCTGTATTTCTCAGTTCTCGGAGGTGATCAGAACAATACGTTTGGAATCGTCGAGTCATATGCTCCTAGAATAACCACTTTCACAGCCGCAGGAAGCGGTCAAGGATGCAGTGTAACGACGGACTCTGATTGCTGCATTTGTTACCGTTTCGAGGGAGCTGTGTAACGTGCACATATCGTCAGTCCTTCCAAATCAATGTTTCTCACTTGCCTAAACATCTCTACCGAGTCGTCTCTAATTATCTAAGTCAAGCCTATTTCAGTCTAATGTTTGCAAAGTGAGCATTGTATCTAATCATCACGACCTCCACCCCTACTGCCGCCAAGTGCACCGTCAACATCTGGCCGGTGATGTGCAATGGGCACACACCGTAGTGGTGTCTAACGAACGTTGTCAACGCCGATAGTAGCTCCGGGCGCCCTACGTTCGCTCCCTCCCTATCCTCAGAACGTTTCTCCAGGAACACCGAGATGATCTCTTCCACGGTCGGGTAGCCAACATACGGGCGAACCCCGACACAGATCTTGCCCCAAGCCCCTCTCCATGTAGTTCTGGACACTGAAATCCCCTTAGAAGTCAGAAACTTGTTGAAGGCATTTGCGCTGAAGCCATGTTTGTAGGTCATAGCATCCTCCTTCACAAATTGTTTCGCATATTGTGTGAAGTTCTGATAGAACTCCAGCTTCCCAATGCAGTACGAGTCATCACCCGCATTGCACTTCTCCTCCAGGTACCGATTCATCAAGATCTCTCCAGACAGCAGTGGAGACCGCTTTTTGAGACGGATACTGGAGAAAGCCTTGATGTGTCTATCCTCCACGCACACTGTGACGGGCTCGACTCCTTTCAGCTGCTGGCAGGCGGCGTAGAACTTTCCCGGGGATGTCTTCCCATGCAGTTTGACGAACTCCTGGTGGAGGTACACCTTGTCCGTCCGGAATCGGTCCACTGTGCGGGCAGAACGGTCATCGATACCGAATTCGCACATGCTCCGGATGAAGTCCTGCACCTTCTTGTCGAAATTGGTGGCATCCTCCCCCTCTACATACTCCATTGTTGACTCTTCTACCAACTCTCCACCCATGTCCTCCATGCTCGTTTCTTCCACCGTCTCCTGTGAGTTATCCCTCTCTGTGACAGTTACCTTGCGCTTCTTCGCCGGCACGGCAATGGTCACAACAGCGTCCTCACCGCGTTTCAGTACCTCCATCCGATAGTCATGGTCGGTTTCTAGTCGGCGGGTTTCAAGGGTCAGTTTTGCGAGTGTTACTTCTTTGTCTTCGCCTGTAACGTGCCCCATCAAGAGGTCCTTTGAGACTGACAACGCTGCAGCTTTTCTCATCAAGAAATGGAGCTTTTGTATGGTGAGGGTTGGGGGCACAATGAACGTTTCATTGTCCATGCCTAGAGTTGTTTTGATCGAATGTTTGTTGTCTACGATCTCTGGTAGCTTTGAAAAGAATTTCTCTGCTTTGACAGCATCATCGACCTCCATTTCGATCACGGGGTGGAAGAAGAAGGGCTTGGTGTACTTTCTTCGATTCTCCGCATATCTCTCCGTCGTTTTCCGGATGGTTCGACCATATTTGGCAATCCGGAGAGGCTCTTCTTGGACCATAGCCAGGTAGATATACTGTCGCTCGACTTCCACCGTTAAAGTTCTGAGATGGTCTGCAGCATGAGAATACTGTCCGCTTTTGCGGATGGATGGAAGTACCTCGTCCACGACCCAGTCCTGAAACGCGGTTGCCGATGGCAGATTGGATTTCAGAATCAGCTCATAGAGTCCGGACTCGTTCACGTAGCGAGATTCCAGATCATTTGGAGTCCAATTTGGATCAGGTTGAATCTGGGACCCCCGGGGTCCCAGGACAGGACCACCCCGTTCGATCAACTTTGCCATCGTGCTAATCCGATGTGCACTGACGTGCGTGATAACAGCTTTCTTCTGATTCGAGTATCCCAACACGTTCGCGACATCGTTTCCACGAAACCACGGATTCTGCGCATCTCCAGATAATAGAATTCTCACATTCTTGTCGTTGCATACCATCAATTGCTGATCTGCATCAAATGTGAAGCTTGCCATGGTTGCTCCTGCAATGCTCCTACAAAAATGATTCAGCTCTACAAACGCACTTATGTCTTAATCCCCTCCAACGGGCTTCCTAAATAGAGAAAGTATCGTTGTTCAGGGTCAGATGTCACTCTATTGCTTTCTCTCTCTTGCTCTATCTGGCGCTTTGTATCAAATATGAAGCTTGCAAATTCACTAGCTGGTCATGTCAATAGGACAACCTTACCTAAGCCGAGTCCCGAGAGAGTCTCCCCTTTTCTTCGAGAATCTCTCCACGGTCCATTGAAGCTTCCTAAGCCGAGGCATCATCAGTTGAATCCCGTCAAGTCTGCTCGGATATTTTCAAAACGCTATAGTAGCGACAATGTCATTCAATACCACCGTGTCTGGAATACTCACGACGAACGGCCTGTCGATACCTTCCGGTTCCGTATCCTTGCCTGCAGGTTCTGTCACCGCTGGATCCGTCAGTGGTCTAGCGGCCATCGCTACTACAGGGGCGGCTTCCAATCTATCCGGGGTACTCGCAACTTCTAATATCCCCAATCTCAATGCGAGCAATATCATCTCTGGCAACTTTAGCGTCGGGACATTTGGTACTTCCGTTGTGCCCTCTGCAACGGCGACGTCCGACCTCGGCAGCAGCACGTTCAAGTGGAAGACTGTATACTGCAGCAACGTGACTGCTGTCAACTATACCGGGAACACCTCTTCTACAACAGGCGCAGAACCGTTAGTGCTCGCAAACACCAGTACGGGTAACAACACGACAAAGTTTGCGGGGCTGAAGTTTCAAGGCACGGACACAGTCGGGTCTCTCAAAGATGCATCATTTGTCCGGTCGATCCCAGCAGATCAAGACTATGTGAGTTCAGGGCTGACTTTGTGGACTCGATTAAATGACTCCCTCTTAGAGCGCGTTCGGATCACCCCAGCCGGGTGGATGGGGATCGGTCAGAGCACTCCAACTGCAATGCTGCACATCACAGGAGGCTCTGCGCAATTCGATAGTAACGTCACCGTCGCGAGTGCGCTAAGCACCAGCAATCTGACCGCCACCGGAACCCTCAGTTTCCCTGCGGGATCAGTCGCAGCATCTGCAGTCTCGAGTCTGGACGCCAGCAAGATCACAACGGGCAATTTTGGGGTGGGGTCGTTTGGAGCCAACGTTGTCGTCAGCACTGCGAACAACCCAAATTTCACATTAGCGTCCTCTGCAACCACGAACAGTCTCAACCTTGGGCTGGCAACGAGCATAGGGAGTTACAGCACGTCAGCTGCTGTAGGTGACGTTATACTTCGTGGTGTGGGAGGCAAAGTTCTCATTCAATCATCGACTGGGGCGGCGGCACTCGTCGTAAGCACGGCAAACAATATAGGAGTCGGAAATGCTAGCCCTCTGGCCCAACTCCATAATTCGGGAGACATGCTGGTGGCAGCAAACACCAGTACTTGGTCAACCACTGCAACTAAAGGTCTCTACATGCGCTATTCAACGTGGGCTTCACAAGATGAGGCTTATATACAATCCGTGGATATGAGCGGTGGGACTCTCTACAATCTCGGAATATGCGGCAAGAATATAGCCCTAGGAGGGAGCTCTCCTCTCAGCGCTCCCACCCTATATGTAGGTTCCAACGGCAACATAGGAGTGGGCACGACGGGGGCTTCGTATAAGCTGGATGTATCCGGCACCCTAAGGACGACCGGCGCCGCGACCCTTGCCTCAGTGACCACCGCGGCCAGCTCGGTCAATATTATGCCCGGAATCGTTGCTGTAAATGACGGAACGGACAGCGCGTCCGCCCGAGGACTTAGGTGGTGGAGTAGCAGTGATATCGACACGCTAACATATGCCTCCTCGTCGGGGGCAAACAAATCTCCTGCGAACGCCACCACTTGCACGTCCCTAGACGGACGGACGAGCGTCCACATCAGGAACCGGGCATATGGCAGCACGGGGCGCGGATTCCTCTGGGAGAACACCACTGGGCAGTGCCTCATGTCCCTCACCAGCGACACGGGCAACCTGTACGTGAAGGGCATGTACTCCGCCAGCGGCACCGGCGGCCTCCTGTGCACGGTGCTGAACGGCGGGCGGTCCCTCGGGTCGTTCCTGACGACGGCCGCGCTCACCGGCATCGCCAACGCGCCTCTGTACTGGACGAACCTGCACAGCCTGGCGCCGTTGGCCAGCATATTCAACGGTCAGACGACCTCTTATGTGGTGCGCATAGCAGGTTACATCAACATCCAATACGCGCAGCAGTATACGTTCTACTTCAACATCCTGTAACGATTACGA